ATATATATATATATATATATATATATATATACCTTAAAATATAAATCATATAAATTAGTAATGAACAGAGAACAAATAATCAGAGAACTTACTGGTGTGCGAAAGAGGGACATCATCAGCCGTAGAGCTTCATCAATCTCCTTCTCCCTGAAGTCCACTTGCCGGATGAATTGGCTGCGGAGAAAAGACAGATAAGATCAAGAAAAAAAGCGCAAAAATCGAGGGTTTTAAATTGCATGCACACACACACACACACACACACACGCACTCTGCCTGACCCGATGTGGGGATTAAACTGGGTCACAAGCCGTGCAGGTTCCCGGGCTAGGGTCACACTACACACATGTGCGTTCGAGTAGAACAAGCAGTGAAATATAAACAAAACCTACACATCCACTTAACTAACTGACTGGAGCATACTAGACAATAATCAGAATTGAAAGGGAAACAGATTACATATTCCTATTCAATCCCCTACTTCCGATGATTCAAGGATGGATTTGTCTAACCATTGTATAAACTGAAGTGTCTACATCCGGAACCTATTTCCGTTGATTTTAAAATACTGTAATTCCTAGGATTGGCTAACATTCCTTATATACCGGGATAAAGATAGTCAAACAATAGTACCATTGAGGTTGAAAAAAACCAAGCCCATTAGAAGAATTATTCGTATCTGCCTTGGAGTCGCCCTTGTGATAAACTCAGATTAGCCTGTACTATACGCTGACTCGAATTAATAAGTACAATCATTCGTCGGCGTCAGTAAAAGTGGGCCAATGAACCTGGAAGTTGGCCACTTCATCGATCTTTTCTTTTCGAATGTCATTTGATGATTCCAATCAGGAAAATTCTGTACATCAAGGCAGCAGGTGGACATGGAGATGATGCATGGCTTTTGCTACCATAGGTTTCCATCATTTAAACTGTGGCCTTCAGTTAAGTGATCAATAAAAGCACCCCAAGGCGAATTCTGTCTTTTTTCCTAACACACACACACACACACACAGAACCTAAACATGTAAGCGTTTACCTGGTCTAGGGGCTCGCAAATGATTTGTAACTCCTGCAATTAGGACAAGATTCGCTATTTACCCAAAGTGGATGTGAGGAGAAAAGTAGGTAGGCGCAAGTTGTGAAAAATGGAGGGAAAATGATCAATTTATTGATTTTAAGGCATCAATATTCTTGTATACAAGATCTCACTGAGAGAGTAGCTATTCAAAATGCATACGGACATTGGCTCTTGCCTTAAGACACTAAATGCGCAAGGAACTGGGATCATACGGCTAAATTTGTTTCACTGATTTTCAAGTGTTGGCGCAATTTTCCACTTCCCATTGGTCCAACCTGTGATTTAGTCCCTTTTATTAAATAAACCTGCAACTTCCCTACATGTGACCGAAAATGGATTCAGGTCAAAACAGGTTTCCTGATAGTCAGTTATATTTTCGGTTATTTGAACACAAGAGTAAGAAAATACAAAGAAGTGAACAGACAAGAAGCAGCAGATAGCACCCTAGTGAACCATTCTTTACTTTACCAGAGGAATATTGTCATCAGCTGTCACTTCCCAGGTAGGGGGGGGGGGGGGAGATAAAGAAGTCGATTTGCGGGCCTATGTGATTCCAGACGATCAGACTGAAAGTCCCAAAGCCAATTCATTAAAGGTGATGACGGTAGACCTAAGGTGGGCGCGGATGCCCGGTTTGACATCCTAGTCGTCGATGGGGCTAGTGACAGGAGGAGTAGCAGTTTTCACCCTTCCTATGTGTTTACAATGACGTATGAATGCCCATTTGAAGGGGGAGGTCACACACCCAGAACTCACAAAACGTGAAAGAAGTTAATTTGACCGCAAACTTAAATATCATATATAGGTATATGCCTTAAAATGAATACTTTTTAGCGTCAGACATAGTTATGTACGCAAATAGTTCTGCGTTATCAAATGTCAAAGAGCCATTCATTAAGATAAAGGAAGAGCAAACTTGGCTTAAACTCGTATCGATTCAGCCCAAAAACTGATACTTTTAAAATGGAAAGGGGTGGGTGGGGGCGAGGTTGAAACTTACCGAGCCGTAGCAACACAAAGGTCGTGTTTCATTTCTCCCAAATACTCTCCAATAGCGCTTCGAGCCAGTCCCCTTCTAATGTGTAAAAATCGGGCAATTTGACGCGGAGAGGCTTCCAAAAAGCGGAATCTGATCAACATTTCCATCCCTTTCACCGGCGATCTAGGTGGCAGAGAGAGCAAGAAAAGTTAATAATTAATGCGATTTTTTGACAACTAGACACCGTGAGGCATGATTAATTGATTAATCAGGTACATTATGAATCGGAGTTGAAATAAAGCTGAAGCTAGCGCTGGACCATCTATAAATGAGAATTTGCATACAAAGGATTGAAACAAGTATTATAGCCTTAGTTTACTTGTATCAAGTGATTTCTAAGGTCACAATTACAAGAACTTTAAACAAATAAGAACGAACATATAACAAATTTTCCTTAAAATGAACTGGAACTGCAAATGGATACCAAGTGTGCGAGCAACAAAATTAATAGATAAAATCGTGGAAATAAACTTAAGGACAACAATAAAAGAGGTTTTCTTGAACTAACAACAACCTGAGAACTAAATAAACACTTGACCTCAGGGCAAAGCCATGTTTTAAAAGAATTCCCATTTCCTAATAAATGATCTGCATGAAATAAACAATGGGAGGGGGCAACAAAAGTTGATAGAGATTCGAGCTCTGCGACACTTTCACAATGAGAATGACAATCTACATAGGGAAGCTGATCCAAGTAATCTAAATACAATGAAAAATTTCAATTATCAACGTAATGCATCAGAGGTCCTTGTTCCCTTTGTTTGATTTATAAAGTGATCGAATGAAAGAACATATGCACACATATATGCCAATGAAAATAGAGACTTACTTGTTGAAATAATTCAAGCATACTCTGTATAGCCTTTTTCTACACCTATCAGCCATAGCCGCATTAGTAGTATTGACAGCATTTCTTGATCCCATGGCAACCAAGTTGGAAGCAGATGCAACAGCACCAGAGGAATGTTGAAGTAACTGAAGAAGAACAGGGGAATTTTTCTGAGCCACAACAATTGGTTGCTGGGGCTGTCTTGAAGTAGGCGAAACAACAAGAGTTGTGCCTGCAGAAGGCTCAGCATAAGCCAGGGTGTACATCTTACCATCCGGAGTACACCAAACAGGCGTTGTCTGAACTGTATTCGAACCCGTACTCGATCTACGAACTAAAACAGCAGTGGTCGGAGTTGCCGTAGAGACAGTTGGTTGCTGAGCGATATATCTTGGTTGAGACTGCTGTGGGTTAACACTAATATATTGCTGATGGTTATGATCCGATCTCACTGGGACAGCAACATACAACTGTTGAGTATGTTGAACTCTTTGTTGCTGCTGTTGATCTTCAGGCCTATTATCCATAACGTAATACAAAACAGGCTGCTGATGATTTTCGAGCTCGGAGGTCTGTCGTGTAATAGGTGGGGCAGCATTAACCTGGGGAGAGACTTCAGCAGTCTGTAGAGAACCAGAAGAACAAGATCCTGGGGAGGAAACAAATCCTGAGGTAGACCCTGTCCCAGTACCAGGACTGGAGTTATGATGGCTCTTAGGAGATGTTAAATTTGTACAGGAATGTGAGGAAATTTCTTCAGCAGACTCAGGGGACTGTGTTGAAGCCGATGGAGCGGATGATCGACTCCCTTTAGCTTCAACGGTGAGGTCAGGTATTGATCCACTTCCTGGACTGCCAACTACTTCACTTTCCCAATCCAAGTAGGCCCGATCAATGACTAAATCCTCCATACTAGCAAGGTGCTGGGCTTCGCGACCATCTTCGGGATAATAATCATTTAACCCACTTGTTAGACGATTAGTTAAACGGCGATCAGATCTCAATTGGGCATACTGAGCCCGCATTCGATACTCACGAAATTTACGTTGAATTATCCGTGCTGCATGCTGAGCTCGTAATCTACCGCCATAGTAACGTTCCATGAGGTCCACTTCTTTTGCACGCAAATCATCTGAGAGTTCATAAGTATTATTACTTAGAATTCCAGGACGAATTGTGGAAGTTCTATGGGAGTCACAATGATTTCTGGGATGAAGGGTCAACGCTCGAAATTGTTCGTTAAGAGTGGCACATTTTGGTTGCTGGTGAAGATGACAACTATCAAATCGGGGAGCCACAGCACTTCCTGATCGAGAATTAGCGCAACCTTGAAGTCGTTGAGGTGCCTGTTGCCATCGTGAGAGATGCGGGGGATCATAAGGAAGGTCAGACATAGGTGGAGGGATATCAATTAATGAGGGTTCCTTGTTTATGTGCTCTGTACTCAGCGAAAGAGCACGAACCGAACCCAGAGTCGATGAACGATTACTATGCATTGCGTAAGTCTAAAATAGTGAAAAGAATAGGTTTCGCTCAATTGTCTGAGTTTATATCTAGCTTCTTCCGTCTGGGTAAAAATGATTGGTTCGTCTAAAATCTAATAGTTGATTGGTTAGTAGATGGGAGCTTATTTTGAGAAAGAACGACCTTACAACTATGAAAAGTGGCTGGTGTAATATCTAGCTTTTTATAAAACGGTTAAATATCGTTATTAATGAGCGATAATTTTACAAATTTATTTTTTCAGAATTAAGAAACGGCGTCCATACTACAAAAAGTAAGCAAAATCCGACGTTCGCTTGCTTAATTGTTAATTTTTTTGTCTAATCATAAGAATCTAAAATTGGAAGCGATTAAATGCTATTTAAAATGTTGAGCAAACCCAGTTCTCACTAGCAAATAAATAATAATATCCTTACTGTAGGCGTGCATATGGACCGTTGGGCCATGTCATTTTTGTCACAAACCCCTATTACAATACTTGATTGTTAAAAAGGTTGAATTTGCTTGAATTATCAACCTAGCCACAAGGCGAAAGCCGATTGTCTTGAATCCGCAAACTGATTTCTCTACCCAAATTTATTTATCAAAACTATGTTTTATTACCTAGACGAATAATAGTAATGAAGCATTTATTTGAAAGCGGTCAAGTAAAAATTAATGAAAGGAAGTTAATGCCAAGGAACAGCCAGCCATAATGAGCATAAATGGAAATCGAAAATTAAATAAAACAGTTCAACCCACCTATTAGAAACAATGAGAAAATGTAAATAATCCACAAGATGGTTGCATAAATGACAGTGAAATAATAAGTCAGACCGAAGTAGTATTAGACGAGTCAACTACAACGGCAACCGAGAGCAAAACGTACACGAAAAGAAAGAAGTAGGTTGACAAATGAAACGAATTCGTAAATGCGTGCGTGTGTATACACAAAACTGTCCTGAAAAGCCGACCTGCGCTGCAATTATTGGTTGTTAGGTTTGTATGGCATGCAGCAAGCATCGTCCACCAGCATAAGCAGCTGATTGGTCGGTTTGATCTCTAGGTTGATTACCCAAGTCTACCAATGAGAATACGAGTAAATATCTCAACCAATAACTATTGAAAGACCGATAATGTGACTCAGTGCCAGCTGATTTGATTTGGGTTGTTGATAGATGAGTGACTGAAGAAAATTCATCTATTGCACTTCTTCCATTTACTGGTTATACTTAAAATGAAATGAAATTTATGTTTTTTTTATATTAGAACTCAGAGGTCCATTCAATTAATAAAAAGAATAGTCGAAAGAGTATAGTAGGTAAAAATCATTTTCCTCCTTATGAAAATCCACTAGCTCTCTCACACAAGATCCCAAAGGTTCTGATTTCTTCCCAAAACAACGTGGAACGGTGTTTGGTTGTTTGCGTGCAAGCGATTTTGCGTGTAAGTGGTCTTTCAAAAGAGACAAGGTGTGGAAATTGACCAAACTCACAGCCAAGGTTCGAAAGCCTAAAATCGATTGCAGTTGAAAAGAACTCATCCACAAGTCATTTTTCTTTGTAGTCAGTCAGTTGTTCGATTCAATATGTTTTCCTATGGCGAACAACATAAAAATTCATATATTAAAGGCACAAATTTGAGGGTAATTTTGGTGAACCACTGGAGTTGCGTTGTCAAAGTAACTTTCACCTGATTTAAATTTGACGTTTAGCCCACATTTTCGTCAGTCTGACTGGTCATAAAATTAGGGACATGTTAGCGTGTCGTTTATTAGGGCATTTGATACATTTAACTAACCTTACTAGCCTTGCTCACCTCAATTTTGACCCCATTTGAATCGTATCTGCGCTGGTTGTAAAAAATCGGTCTGTTTTTTCCTTCCAATAAATCCAATATTTCCCCTCTTAAATTCGTAATTTAAATTATAGGGTGGTTAACTGGTTTCCGCCTTTATTATTATTATTATGCAATCACACGTTTATTTCCAAGGGAATATTATGGAAGAGGATCATCTCTACAGTCAAGACGATTATGGTTAAAACTAAGTGGGAGATGAGATGGTTAAAAGTGGGGAATTGTGAGAATAATTAACCGGTTAGTTAACGAAGTACTAAAATTTGAAAATAAATATTTTTCATAAATTTGTTTCAAAGTAAGCAATTGTCATTAATTTTATTTTTCAAGTTTCATCAACTCCGCGAACTGCGTCCTAGACAAGTAGTCCACTTGTTTGTATCAGACACCTACACTCTGGGGGGGGGTTCTATCAGTCTTTTCACATCTAATTTAAGCACATTTTTTTAGAAAAAAAGACAACCACTTGATCATCACATGCAACATGCTATATTTTGACCTCATTTAGTGCTGCAACTTCCTCCCCCCC